CCCCAAAACCCCAAAACCCCAAAACCCCAAAACCCCAAGGCAGATAATTATATTGCAAATATTTATTTTGAACATTTATGGAACTTAGAAACATGGAATAACCTTCTCTTTGACATAAATGGACTATCTCATCACTGGGATGAAAGGGAATCAATATTTTCTCTATTTTCCGGTCTCGAACTTGAGCTCTATTTAATATTAAAGATATAGCAAGATAGAAATGAAGAGCAGTGAGTCTCTTGAAAACTTAAAATTCTAAGAAAATATGAACCTACGTCTCTACTTTTACTGTCATTGAATTTCTGGAATGTATTCAACAATGCCACTGGGTCCTCTTTCCTAAATAATAATGTGGGATTTTACTTTTCTTCTTTATTTTCCCTTCAACAATGGTTGTCTATTAATGTTTAGAGTTTAATTTTATTTGATTAAAATAAGAGAAATTTGGAGAATCCATGCAGAGAAATTATAAAATGACCGATCATTTTGAAAGTAGATTTAGGTAAGACCTAATAAAATTTTCAATAAAAATTAATGTATCTTCTAACTTGCTAATTTCCATGTTTTAGAAAATTTTCTTCTGAACACTTTATAATCTGAATCCTGGGTGCATTGTACTATTTTTTTGCTATTTGTATGTGTGTCTCCAAAATTACTATTTCAACAAAGGCTGATTAATAAATTTTTACTAGCCATTCATTGTTGTCAATATAAACTAACTGATCAAATATTTTGAGGATAAAATCATTGCTCTAGAATAGAAAACTTTACCAATTCTAAAGCCCAGCCTTCTTTTATGATTTCTGAATCTTCTTTTCTTTTTAATTATTCTAATCCGCTTTTTCCTTGGAATTGCTAATTCTTGTTGCTCTTCTTTAGTCTCATCCTCCTTCTGTTTTCGAAGGATATAAGCAAGGAATCGGTAAATCTAAAGTTTATTTGTAATTATTACTGTGTTTAAGAGTTGGGAAGAATCTTTCATAGATTTTAATAGCAAGTAAAACCAATTTATCATAAAGTTGACATTCAGAGCTACACATAATACCATTGTAATTAATTTAACTCCGTTGACTTCTGATTTTTGAGAATATAGTAGTCCACTAAAGATAGTCAGGATTCCTGCATTTATTGCTGAAATTTCTATTTTATTGTTTTCTTGGTCGGTATATGGTTGTAACCTAATCTGAAATCGAGTAAAAGTCACTAATCCAGAAATAGCTACTAACATCTTCATTTGAGGAGAAAGAGGAAAAAGAGTCAGGATAAATATCTTCCTTGCTGTGTTTACAAACTCCCAGTAAAATTTGTCCTGTTTTAGCCCTTGATACAGAATCAGGAAATACTGCTTGATTTTGTTGTCTGATTGTCTTTTAATGTAGATGAACAAGAATGTCAAGGCTGTGACTGGAAGTGAAACCACCCAAACAATCAAAATTGGAACAGATAAAATTGAAATATAAAGAATATGATCACTAGAATATCATTTGATGCTTGTATCAAGTGTCACTCTGGAGTCTCCCTCATTGACTTCAACACATTGAAGGAGATTAAGACTTTGCTCTGTCAGTTTGGGGTGAAGCAGAAACAAAATACTTATAAATGATATTGCTAAATTTCTCTGCAGGTTCTTCACATATTTGTGCTTGATTAAGTATAAAATGATCCAAATTAAAGCCACTACTCCGAACAAAATCAAAGGGAGTAAAGCCAACAGGAATAGTTTCAATATTGCATTCGAACCAAATGGAGATGTTATTTGGTAGTCTCTTATGAAGCAGTCAAACGAGAGGAATGTTTGGGAAGTATCTCCTAATCGGTTCATAACTTCGAAGAATTGGATCATTGAGGTAGGATAGTCTGATGATAGCGATAAGGATGCAAATATGAGTTGGAGATAATTAGTCAATATTCTTAATAGCACAGACAACTCGCTCTCCTTGGTTTTTCTGATGTTGATTACAATAAGCACCATCATAAAAGCAAAAACAACAAGTCCTAATCATATGATTAGAATAGCATTCCATAAAGGACTTGGACACTTTTCTCATTTAGAATTTCCAACCTTTCTGTATTTTGCATTTTTATTAGCAATTCATTGTGCACACAACTCTCCTTGATAGCCTTCTGCTCAGTCCACAGGATGAAGAGCTTCACTTGAGAATCCTCCTTTGCAAGCACCTTTGTTGATTCACTCAGCAATGAAAGTGGAAGTTTGAGAGGCCCTCCAGTATCCTGGATTTACACTGACTTGGTTTCTTCCCAGTCACTCAGCATTGTCCATTCACTTGACTCACTGGGTTGAATTCCATGTTACAGAGTAAGTTCCAGCGTCGCATTCTCTGCAAGTATTTTGATGGGTGATTTCTTCTCCAGGCTCTCAGAATCTGAAATCAACTGTGATGTAGCTGCTGAAGTCCTCATTTGGGAATGCTGTGTTAACTTTATTGCTGTCAATAGCACTAGTGGGAGCATTAAATGTTACATTTTTAGACCCTGGCTTGGATTCAAATATAATTCCTTCAACAGTGGCGATTCCAGATTTAAAAGGGAATGAATTTGCTCCTCCCACTATAGAATGAGAACTATTTTGGGAGAATATTCCGACTTGATCAACATTGTTCAGATTCATGACTTGATTATCATAATCTAATAAAGCAAGCTTGACAGGAGCTGATATAACTACTCCAGAGCCTATTCCAGTCAAATGAATTTGCGAATCTGAGTCATTTTTCATCTTCATTTTTACAGGATAACTAGCAAGATCTGGACCGTATTGTGCAGAGTTATTAATGAAGGTTGAATTAAATATTTTAGGTCTGATCAAGTTGTAATAAATTGCTCCTCCTTGCACAGAAGCAGAATTATTAGTGAAAGTAACATTATCCAAGTCTAGTTTACACAGATCATTTGAGAAGCATTCAAAGTCAATAGCTCCGGCTTTACTCGCAATATTGTTTAAAAACATTGTGTCTTTTATGCTTATAATGCTATCTATTATCTTAACTGCTCCTCCATGAATCAAGTCACTATTCTTTCCATTTTTAGTAAATAACAAATTTTGAATAAGAGTTAAATTGCTATTACTTATACTCAAAGCCTTAAAGCAATTTGTAATGTTCATATTCTTGATCATATCAACTTGAGATTTTATTATGGAAATAACAGTTTTGTTCTGATCTTCAATAATAGAGTCACCAAATGATACATTATAAGATTTTTCTACTTTAATGATTTGATCTGAAAGTACTTTCAGATTTGACAGAGTTATGTTTGTAAACTTAACTCTGTCTCAAGAGAGCAAATATAAAAGATTGCCAGCATTTGTAATATTTTTAGCTGAAATAATGCTAAATTCGACCACTCCAGAAAGGGCACTGAGAAGTCTGGTATTTGAATTTTCATAAGTAATATTTCTAGCAGTAATCTGAGTATCAACATTTGTCAAAATTATTTCTCTATCAGAATTGTCTTGAATGTTAGTCAAGAGTACATCATACATTTCAAAAGAGGAGGATATCAATTTTATTGGAGTATTAGTAAAGTTAATATCTCTTAATATTGTCCCACTGATTGTTAAAGTTGACATAAAAACATTAAGTATGCCATTTTGATTAGAAAATAATGTGTTGTTAATGATTTGTAATGACCCCGACACGATTTCAATCAAATCAAACCCTTCAGAGATGGATTGAAGGTTATTTTCCTTGATATATTCAACTAATCTTTGATCGAGAAATCATAGCTTAGAGCAACTTCCAGAAACTTCTTGGTTGAAATCATTAGGAGAGATTATTAAGTTTCCAGTAATATTAGTACTGTCAATAAGACTAACTTGTGATGCATCAACAATTCGACCAAATGGGGCTTGAATAGCAATATTTTTAGAAATGGTACTGCTTCTAAATCTAAAATAGCCATTACTAGATGCAGTTATGATTGCATTACTGAGCCCAAAATTATTCGATAAATATCAAAAGCTTCATTCAATTACAGAACCTGATAGAGCATGAAAAAGAGTTGAAATAACTGCAGAGTTGTTCGTAAAGTTGGCACGAGTGAGTCTCACTACTGAGTTTAAGCTAGACTCAATAATTCCTGAAAACGATGATGCTGTTGACACTGAGTCAAATGAACTATCAGTAAAACTCACTGTTGCTTGTTCTGTTACTATAATCAACGACTGTAAAAGAGAGTAAATATGGCTAAAAGTACAGTTCATAAAAGATACTTCATGGATCACATTTGGGAATGCTTTGTGTCTCAAAGCTTTTATTGAAGCCGATTGCAAATCACCAAAAATAGAATCTTCAACAGTAACAGAATTAATTAATCCATGAGCAAACTGCATGAGGCTTCCTGTTGACTTGAAAGTTACATTTTTTGAATAAAATTGGCTTATTTTCAGCATTAAGTTAGCATCGCTCTCGAGATTCAGAGTTGATACCATAGCTCTTGCACTTATTATAATGGAGTCTTTGAGAGTAAAATTTTTTAGACTGAGTTGCGTAGTTTCTGTACTATTGTTAATGATAGAGCCAAATTTGACTAAAGAGATCCCACAATCAGAAATATCAAAATTCTCAATCGTAAAATTTTGATTTCTCTGTAGGTCAAACATATTAACCTTCACCAAAGTAGCATCCTCATCTTGAAAATCACTTGCTGTTATGTCTCTTATCAACACATCTCTCAGCCACAATTGCCTCACCACATTAGCTTGGATCAAGACCAATCCAGAACCCACCACACTGTTCATCACAGTAATACCCCCAATGTCCAAAGAATTCAAAGTCCCAGTGACACTTATCAAGCCTCCATTCCCAAAGGCAACCTGTTCAGCGTGAACTCCATTAATCACTGTCTGTGTGTGCTCAAAATTCTCCATCACAAGTAGAGATAAGCTGTTGGCAAATGGAGCAGTCACGTTTGAAAACCTAAGGTTGCGAACTTCAGTCTCTTGAACATAGTTGATGGTGATAAGGTTGGTGAGAAACCCTCCAAGGTTTGAGACAGTAGGAGAACAAGTCTCACATCCAATGGTTGCCTTTTCTAGTCCAACCATTGAGAGGAAAGAGGATAATAGAGTAGAATTAGTCAAGGTGAAACTCTCGAAGTTAATAGTGTCTATAGGCTGACCGATCAGAAGGATAGGAATATACAAAGTATTTTTATAGCCATGCAGATTAAAGTTTCGGTAAGTTTGTACAGTCTTTCTGTAGTGAGGAGTTGACGTCGATGATCCTATATATAGTTTATCTTATCTTCTCGATTCTTAGTAGATAATCTGAGATCATCAAGAAGTACTTCTTGTACTCTCCCATCGTCAGGAATACAATGTTCCATTATGAGGAAGTAGAACGTTAATCCAAAAGAAGAAAGTGAAGATCCATATTCCTCAGCTATAAATCTTTTTACAGTCCAATTTCCTGGATGCATAGTAGTAAATAAGTATGGATCTCTGCCCCAAACATTTTCATTTGACGCAACAAATGTTAAACCATCAACATCAACTCCTGATTCTAGATTTGCTTCTGGATAATTTCAAAAAACGAGAGAAACTATTACATCTCCCATTCTGTAAGTCTCAAATGTTACATTCCTGATAACCCTATTTCATTTAAGCTTATAAAGAATCATTTGTTGATAAAATTTGTACTGCATAAAACTTTCTAACCATTAAGCAAGCTGAATAAATCAGTTAGTGTCTAATAATGCCAAACTTTAAAATTAAATGAGGCTCAATATCATATCATTAAAAGTTTCAAAATTTGGAGAAAAGACTAATCTCAACTTTCTTTTACAATTTGGCTCTATCATGTCGGACCCAAACAAATTAATGCCATGACTTACAGCTTAAATGGGGTTGCTCCTTCCAGAAATCTTCCTGTTACATTGGCTTCTACATTCTCTATATTCAAAATTTAAACTACTCAATTAGGATCTCATGAGTACAATAAAGAGAAGAGAAAGCTTGAGCACTTACCAAGAGTAAAGGCTTTTTCTTGAAGATTAATAGGGACACAAAAAAGTGCATTTTTAACAGGGGCTTCTGTCTCACGATACAAGTTGACATTGGACACAGTCAAACCTGTAAGGGCAAGAGTAACAGTTTGTGGACTTTGAATCAATATGATTTCTTCTTCTGTGAAGGTTCCCATTGAAATCACGGTTTGGAGAGCAGAACTGGTGGATTCTAGAAGATGGAACCGAGCTTTCTTGCTGATCCCAACTTGAGTGAACTCTGTGAGAATTATCAAAGACTTCCTATTAACTTCAACATAGTCTGGATGGCTCTTGATTGTGAGTTCTGTCATGTTCAGAGCAAACAAAGTGTTGTCTTCCAAGTGAACATCTTTCACATTGATGGTCACATTTATTTCTTGATGAGAAAGAAAAGTAAGAATCTCGGAACTCACAGCCTTCATTGTTCTGTACGGGTATTCTCTAGTTCCAAGCTCTAATATTTCAGAGCTCAATGGGTCAACATAATAGTTTGGGGTTCTGCAAGCACTTGGAACAGACAGGCTTAGTCCTTCAAGCTTAACCTGTGATACTTGACAGTTATCGACACACTCGAGAGTTTGTATGTCTAAACTCTGTCCAGGGTCTCATGAAATGCATGTTTTTCTATAGCTACAAACTCCCAAACATGTATCCATTCAGCTTTTGCAAGATTCTGATTTGGTATCATAATATTTGTCGTCAGCTCAATGAACACAGAGAGAAGAGGTTAGGTCCAAAGTCATGAACTCCTCACAGCTGTCACAAGAAGTATCTTCAGAGCATGTTCTACACGAACTGTCTCAAGGTTTACATCCTTGATCGGACTTGAAGAATCCTTCAGAACATCAACTCACACTTTTGAATAATAATATTGCAAGGATCAAAGTCTGTAGATTCATCATCAAAATTTTAGTCTTCTAGAAAATATAAAATTAATAAATAAGGTGAACATTACTTAACAAGAGTCTAATCCATCAAATATGAAAAATCCTTCTAATAAATGAATTTGAGGATAAAGAGATCTGGAACTTTTATTCCTTTATAACCAAAATGGAATCATTTATCACTAGAATGGGAAATCTAATTTTAACCCTAATAATGGAATAAAGAATAATTCATCTTTTTAAATAATAACGCATTTGAATTTACAGATCCGAAGTTTGAGAGAATTTAGAAAAATTAACTTGATTACGAAAATAGTTCATGATATAAAACATTTGATAAATTCTTCTTTGGTTTTAAGAATTAGGACTGATCAAAGAAATATTAAAAACAAGAGTCGGTCAGTTCTTAGATTTTAGATCTTTGATAATTCCTAAATTCTTTTTAAGACTATTCCTTTACGATTAAATCTCATCCATAGTCTCATGGAACGAACAAGAAATTATCATAACCTATCTCCCATAAGATCACCCTCGAGCATCACCCTATCTTGGATTATAATCTTAGCTAGAAGATTTGCATAAAACTAGCAGTCCAGCATTTACTGGTACTTAGTGTATTAATTTATCAGCCTAACTTTCTTTTCTTGGGACTCTTTTCAGAGCGCGTTTAGAATTTTCAGCTTACCTTTTTCTCCATAACTTTTCTAAATTATATATTAGATTCCATAAACTTTATTTATATAGGGGTTTTGGGGTTTTGGGGTTTTGGGGTTTTGGGG